AAATCTAAGAAAAAGAAAAACTTATCTTTGATAAAAATCAAGAAAAATGTCCTGGAGTGAAGAAAATGGAAAATGACTGGAATGAAGCATGAGTACCTTTCTGAGATATTAGAAGTTTTCAATATCTTATTTTGGATGACGGTAATGCAATAATACAACACATGTCAAATATCATCAGATTGAATATTTAAGATTCATTATCCTTTTGACAGATTGTTTTTGGTTTACTGCCAGCATGCAAAAGCTGCTATAAAAATTACTAAACAAGTCTTATTGTGGACCTATGTGTTTGTTTCTCTTGAGAAAATACTAAATAGCCATAAAGCAAATATGTATTTCTTTGCATGTAAACTTTCAGTAGAAAGAAAAAAAGATAAAATTATATTAATACAGTATGTGAAAAATAATAAATGATTATAAACTATTATCTGAAGAACTTAGCTATAAAATATGAGAAAAGTCTCTGAAATATTTCTGGGCTGAAAAGATGATATTCTTTTAATGAGAATTTCACAGTGGTATATGTTTATTGGAGAAAGAAGAGAGGGGAAAGTTAAATACTCCAGAAAGAGTAGACAATTGATGAGACTCTGAGGGAACTGAGTGAGATAGACTAAGAAAACAAATAACAAATAAATAAATAAATAGATTCCTGAGGAAACTGAGAGGAAAAAAGACATGGAAAAAATTGAAAACAACAACTGACACTACCATAAAGTACTTTCTTCTCCCCTCAGATAGATTGTTGTATGTATACTGAAGCTGGACGATGATTTTGAGACTAGACAGTAACTAATAGCTTAATTATACTGAAAAACTGAGCATAAACAGCTAGTGATGTTCTCACATGAACTGGAGAGTGAGTGTCAAGCAGCTGAGCCACATTCAGAGAAAAAAAAATCTATATGCAAATCATGCCTGCATTTTGGTGATTATCATCTAAAACTGTGTTATCTGGGAGCCTGCTAGAAGAAGGCAGTTAGCCAGCTTCATATTGCAATCAGTGAATTACTGATTTTCTATGGCAAATGGCAATATAGTGAACTACTAAAACTCTGAGGTTAGAAGAACAGCCCACATTTAAAATATCCCCAGATTGCTAGGAGGGAAAATATATTATGGATAATATTCTATGAAACTTATTATCTGGGAATTTGAGTAGACCACTAGTGACACTGAATAAGCATTGTCATTGAAGTTAATCTCAACTGCTATCAAGGGACAGAGGTGATGGTGGTGAATTATCTGATGTGTCCATTAACAAAGGAAACTTGGAAAATCTTGTACCTAAAAAACATGTATTGAAATTTCATTCAAAACTCAAAGTTACTGTAAAATTTTGGGAATCAGGACATTCTTTAAGTAAGTGATAGTAGTAGTAGCAGTATAATTGTATTTATAAGCAGAATAGCACCTACACTTCTACTTCAAATACAGGTCTTGCCAGATGATAAAGGGTAGAAAAATAATTATTCTTCATTTCAAAGTCTTAAGAAATCTCCTTCTCTCACATTCACTTGATCTCGCTCTTAATAAGCTCAGAATCAACTAAACGGCTCTAAATGTGACCGAAGACCAGATATTCCCCAGTTCTTATTACTGGAAGACTCTTTTTGTCTAGAAACCAGAACACTGTTTGACACCGTGTTCCAGGTCTGACACCAACTTGCCTCTGGGAAGGAAGTTTGAGATGAGAAGAGTAATGATGCTGTAGGGGCATCAGAAGGATAATGATGCTCTGTGATCAACCCAGACATTCAGGAATACCCAGCCACTCTTTCATTAATATGTTCTGGAAATTTTGGTGGAAACAAATTGATGCAACCCACCCATTCCCACGCCAGGCCAACCCTCGACTCATTGCAGGCAAGTTGTTGTCCCTACAAATTGGGAACTGGTAGCTGATAAGGGGTTGTGATGGCAGTTTCTTTTAGGAAAAATTGATAGAATAGGGTATCTAAGTCTTATTTTTCTCAGTAATTTCTTGGCCCACGTTTTTGCTGCTTAGAATTTTTTATCAAAAAAAGGAGAAGGGGCTAGATTAATGTAATTTAGAATTGAAAGATTTTCATAGGTAATTAGGTGATGTTTTATTGTATTTCTAAATCCCAAGTAATTAAAGACATAAGTAAGGTTGTTCCCAAGTTTTCTGGGTTTAAGTTGACAGGATCGTCATTAATTCTAATGTTCCCTGGTTTATTGAAAATGGAAAAAGATGATTAAGAGGTGATCTGCCATTGGTGTCTATGGAGATGTGGTGGTTGTTTGAGTAATGTAGAAAGTAGAAGATAAGAGAATCGTATGCCTTGAAAAGATCCGGGCAGCTCAGTCCTCTTTGTGTCGGGTTAAAGGATACCCCAACCTCCTTTTTACCCTCTGTCTTCTGTTGGAGATCACCCATTATCACCTTTTCTTCCTCTTTCACTCAGTAAGTAGGAATGAGACAATCTCTTATATAGTAGCACTTATATAATTTTTTAAAAACTAAGGGTAATCAAACTCATGCTCTGTTGTGTCTCAAGAAACTGGATTTAATTAAATTTAGATGCATGTATCTTCCCCATTTTAGTTCTATGTACTCAAATCCAGTAAAAGAGAAGTAATTATTACAAATTTTTTTTTTCTTAAATCATATGACCTTTTTCAACTGCAAAAAATCTGTCAACTAGTTAGGATATCACCTAATTATTTCAACTCTGATCATTTGATGACTGCTTGGAGGAATGGCTAATCTTATGTACAAGATGATAGAGGAAAGCTCTTAGGCTGTAGAAATTTCCTCTTCTCATGGAGTTCTCCTCATTTTTATTATCAAGAAATTTTCACTTCTCTGTGCTTTGTTTTATCTCTTCTCAATATTCCACAACCTGTTTATGCCTTGACAAAATAAACAGACTTTTTATAAGCTACTGTTGGAGATCAGGGTAGACCACCCCAAAATATCCCACAGTGGCATATTGATTTTTTTAAAAAGTTACTTGTTTGGACTTAGTAAAGTCCTGACCCTCCTCTCTCTAGTCTCCCTGAAAGCAGAAAATAAATCTCCCATGTGAAAGATGTTCTTCCTGCATCCTTCTCACCAGAGCTAAGGAATTCAGGGCTGAGAAGCCTATATAAACATACCTTGTTACTTTTACTAATTTACTGCCTCAAGCCTAAACTCTATTTAAATTCCTCACACATTACATACCCCAAACCTAAGTTTCTTTTTCCTGTCTATTTTCTTACAAATTTATTATTTCTCTGTGTAAAAAGATATATAAACTACTTGCTTTGTTTACTCAAGGAGCATCATTAATATGATGTCCCATGCACATGTATTAAATTGTTTTTTTTTCTCCTGTTAATCTGGCCTTGTGTCAATTTTATTATTAGTCCAGTCACAAGGGTAAATAGGCAAAGAGATTTCAGTGTCCCTCCATCGATTTTTTTTCTTTCATATAAGAATTATTATACAAAAAAATCCCTTTTATACTCCCATACAAGTACTTCATGTGCCCACAAAACAACTACTTATCTCATATTTTTCAAGAAATTGCCATCCAGAGAAAAACAGAAGTAGAGACTTCTACTGCTATTCATAAAAGATTTCTTTTTCCAGAGTGTACGGAGGTGACCAGATCTGAGGAAATTTCTTTGTGGGAGCGATTAGGATCAGTCTTTAGACATGGAGAGATTGGATCAAAATGTGAAATGGTTAAAATATTAGAGAGTGATTAAGGAAACTGAAACAAAAGGGAGGAAAAAAAAAAGAAGGTTCTGTTAAGTTGATTTGAATCCCCCCAAAAGGAATATGAGTCAAAATCTGGACAGACTGTGGAACTAGGGAGGTATTAAGAGCTGGGCATTGTATTCAAAGATGTTTCAGTATACAAACTACAGCTAATAATTCAGAGTGGAGTATAGAGTCATAATATGGAGTCAGAGTATAGTGTAAAGCTACTAAAAAGAAAAAGTCGAGAGCCCAATATAAAATTCTATGCAGAACTCAAGGAGTCCAGTGTTCCACTAATCTTTAATCTCTAGGATGAAAACATAATTATGCTACTCTAGCTTCACAGTTTGTGTAACCTAGCCAGATTCCACTGTTATTTTTTGATACACTGTCCTTAATTAAATTGTCCATTTTCTTTCTTTTAGTACCTCTGTATTATTTTTATTCTCCTTCTCTTTCTCCTTTTCCTTCTCCTTCTTTCTCCTAAGCCCCAGTAAAAAACAGCCTTTCTATTTCACAATCCCTATTCCACTTGACAAATCTACCCTAAAGATAAATGGGCCTTAATTCATTTAGAGAACAAACTTCACCTGGCTGTGTCTGAAAGAAGACTACCCTCTTCAAATCTCCAGTAAGGACCACGTAGTTCCCTAAAAAACAGTAGTTTATTCAATATTTTGATAAAGGTATCAGTTAATATAAGAAAGATAAACTCTCTTCTAACAAACCCCATTTGAAAACCAATGCCAATGACTAAGGAATAAATAACTGACTCTCCAGGACCAGGAGTAGTGTGGCTAATATTGAGAGCTCCCATAGGATTATATACTAATGCCACAGGGCAAGAGAAACAGGATTTCTTCTAGGACACCAAGGCTCCGAGGAGAATTTCCAACTGAAATTGGCTGACATTTAGAAGTAGCTATAAAAGGAATACCCAATGGTGGTTTATCAAACAAACTAGGCTACAGCTCATGAAAGATGCCCAAGATCAGTGCTCCTAGTTTCATAGATTCCATTTCCACAAGAGCTAAGTGTTAAGTCAGGAATCCTGAAACTGTTTCATTTTCCAGCTCTGGTAAAGATGTTGTAGGATTCTTTGCTGCCCCATCCAATGTGTATTGTAGAACCCCAGGACATTCTGGCTAAACTGCCATCCAAAGCACTGAACTTACTAGCTCATTGTGGTTGAATGACAGTGAGGGCTGAAGCCTTTTGAGTTCCCATCCAAGTTTTCTTTTGCAGATATTAGAATCAGTGGCGAGAAGACCGAATACTAATCTCTATGGCATCAATCAACATGTCATATTTGAACCCCAGAACCGTAATCTTGATTGGAATTCCTGGACTAGAACATGTGCAGTTTTGGATTGGGTTTCTTTTCTTTGCTGTGTGCCTAGTGGCTCTTTTGGGGAATATCATTTTACTAATCATCATCCCTACAGAACACAGCCTGCACCAACCCATGTATATCTTCCTGGCTGCGTTGGCAGCCACTGACATAGGCCTCTGTGCAGCCATTGCTCCTAAGATGTTGGCCATCTTCTGGTTCAGATCTTACTCCATGGTCTTTGATACCTGCCTAGCTCAGCTGTTCTTCATTCATGCCTTGCAGTGCATGGAGTCTGGCATCCTGTTGGCCTTGGCCTTTGACCGCTATATTGCCATCTGTGATCCTTTGAGGCACAAATCCATCCTTACACTTTCCCTCCTATGTCGCATGATAGTGATGGTGGCAATCCGAGCTACAGTGCTGGTTGATCTGTTACCCATTGTGATCAAAAGACTGCACCTTTTCCATTCCATTGTAATTGCCCACTCTTACTGTGAGCACATGGCTGTGGTCAAGCTGGCTGCAGAAGACATCCAAGTCAATAAAACATGTGGTCTCCTTGTGGGTTTTACAATTCTGGGATTAGACATGATTTTTATCCTCATTTCCTATATCCTTATTTTCCAGGCTGTTTTTTGTCTACAGCAAAGGGAGGCACGCCTGAAAGCATTTAATACATGCACAGCTCACATTTTTGTTTTCCTTGAGTTTTATATTCTTGCCTTCTTCTCTTTCTTCAACCACCGTTTTGGACATGTTACCCCATCTACCCACATCCTTCTGCCTACCATCTACCTCCTTCTGCCACCTGCACTCAACCCTATTGTCTATGGTGTAAAAAATAGGGTAATTCGTAAGTGTGTGGCACAGATTTTTCTTCTGAATCAGGGATCCCAGCAGTGATCTGTCAACTGTTGGTGGTCATGTAGAGAATACTTTTATTTCCTAGAGAAGGAGAAAGTTTGGACTCTGTGTGTTAATTGCTGAGGTTTCACATCATCATGCTTAATCTTAAAGTCATTTATTTCCAAGACTACAGCTAGGTTGACATAAAAAGTATTCAGGTTGACACTGATATTTGTTCTCTATCTGTAATGCGTTTGAGTTAATCTAAACTTTATCATTTCTTTCCCTGTATTTTCTTTGGATTTAATTTACAGTTCTTTTCACTTATTCATAAGGAAGCTTTGATAATTGGTGTTCCAACTTTCTCTTTTGGAATATATAAATTTTCAACTATGGACTTATTTTAACCATTGCTTTTGTTGCATACAACTCATTTTGAAACTCTATATTTTCATTCTTCTTCAATTAAAAATAAGACCAATATTCATTGTGATTTCTGTGTTAACCCATGAGATATTGAGGTATGTGCTGCTTGATTTCCAAATATTTAAGGAATCTTTGATAATGTTTTGTTATTGAATTCTCGTTTAATTTGCTTGTGTTCAGAGAATACACTCTTTTTGCAATATTAAATATTTGAAATGTGTTGAGACTTGCATTATGGCCCAGTTTAAGGTCTATTTTGTGTGTCCTTAAAATGAATGTACATTATGTAGTTTTCGTTTTGTTGCTTTTTATATATAAAAACAAATCAATGGTGTGTTTATACCATAAAAAGTAAGAAAAATAAGAACAAATTAAACATAAATAAATTGAAAGATGGAAGTGATAATGATAGAACAGGCATTAATGAAATATGAAGTAAATTATAAGGAAAAACTACAAAATCAGAGAAAGAGAGAACATAAACCACTGACACAAGGAAAACAAGTTTATTACTACATACTGTATACATTAAAACATCAATAATGAAATATTGTGAATCAATTACTACCAATGAATTTAACAATATAAATAAAATATGCACACTGTTTGAAAGACATAATTACAAAAATTGGAAAAGAAGAAATATAAAACCGGAATATCCCTATAGGTATAAAGCAATTGAATCTTTTAAAATTTTTATTTTTGACAAATAAAAGTTGTATATATTTAAGGTGAACATCATGATATTTTGGCATATATATATGTATACACTGTGAAAAGATTTACCACAACCAAACAAATTAACATATCCATCCTTTCACAGTTACCTTTTTGTGTATGTAGTGAGAATAATTATCTACTCTCTCAGCAAATTTCAGGTATACTATATATTATTATTAACTATAATCACCATACTGTACATTAGGGCTCTAGAACTTATCCGTCCTATAATTGAAAGTTTGTTTCCTTTGATCTATATATCCCTTTTCCCCCTACCCCCAGCCTCTGGTAACCACCATTCTATTCCCTGTTACTATGAGTTAGACCTTTTTTTCAGATTCAACATATAAGTGAGATCATGTGTATTTGTCTTTCTGTGTATCGATTATTTCACTTAGCATAATGTCCGCCAGGTTCATTCATGTTGTCACAAAAGGCAGGATTTCTCTCTTTTTTTAAGGCTGAATAACATATATATCTCCCATATATCACATTATGTTTATCCATTTATCTGTCAATGGACATTTAGGTTGTTTCCATATCTTGGCTACTGTGACTAATGCTGCAATGAACATAGGAGTACAGATATCACTTCACAATAATGATTTTACTTCTTTGGATATATACCCAGAAGTAGGATTGCTGGATCATTTGGTAGTTCTATTTTTAATTTTTTGAGAAACCTCCATACTGTTTTTATAGTGGCTATACTGATTTACATTCCCACCAGCAGTGTACAAGGGTTCCCTTTTTCTACATCCTCGCCAACACTTATCTTTTGACTTTTTGGTAATAACTATCCTGACAAGTATTTCACTGTAGTTTTGATTTGCATTTCCCTGAGAATTAGTGATGTTGAGCATCTTTTCATACTTGTTGGCTATTTGTATGTCTTCTTGGAAAAATATTTATTTAGTTCCTCTTCCCAATTCATTCTTTTGCATGTGGGTTTTGAGTTTTTCCAACACCATTTATTGAAAAGACTATGCTTTCCCTGTTGTATATTCTTGGCGCCTTTGCTGAAAACTAGTTGACTGCACATGTGTGGGTTTATTTCTTGTCCACTGGTCTATATGTCTGTTTTTACGTAAGTACTGGTTTCACTGGTCTATATGTCTGTTTTTATGTAAGTACCAAACTGTTGGATAACTACAGCTTTTTAATATAGTTTAAAATCAAGAAGTGTGATGCCTCCAGCTTTGTTCTTCTTTCTCAAAATTGCTTTAGCTGTTCAAGGTCTTTCATGGTTGCATACGAATTTTAGGATTGTTTCTTCTTCTATACTAAAATGTTCACATAATCCAATATACTTTCATTTGTGAATTATACCAAATATTTAAGCAATAGATAATACCAGTCTCAAAACAAACATTTTCAGGAAATACAGAAAAAAATAATAGCTCCCAGTTTATCTCTGTTTCCAAAAGTTGAAAATGATATTGCAAGATCCATACCTGTCATGAAAATAAACAAAAAAATCATTAACAAAATATTAGCAAATCAAATCAAAAAGCAAATGTCATGGTAATCAACAATCAAGTGACTCTATCTAGAAATAAATGATTGCTGTAGCATTTTACAATTTACAATGTTAGCCATATTAAAAAAAAAAAAGTAAGGAAAAGCATATAACTATCCCAGTGTATTAAAAAATATTGACAAACTCAAGATAGTTTCAATGAAATTCAGGACAGATTCCATGAAAAAATCATGGCTGATTTCACAGTTAATGGTGAAATAATGAGCATTTTTCCCTAAGTTCTGGAACGATTAAAGAATGCCTGCTTCCACCACTTGCATCACATGTTGTGTTTAACATCTTAGCTAGTAAAATAAAGCAAGAATATTAATGAAAATATATAAAATGGGAAAAATAAATAAAATTATTTCTAGCTGCAAATGACATTGTTCTCAAATTAGAAATGGCTAAGTATGGGGCCGGCTGGGTGATGCAAGCAGTTAAGCGTGCGCGCTCCGCTGCTGTGGCCCGGGGTTTGCTGGTTTGGGACGCCGGGCGGGCACCAACGCAGCGCTTGGCAAGCCATGCTGTGGCGGCGTCCCATATAAAGGTGGAGGAAGATGGGCACAGATGTTAGGCCAGGGCCAGTCTTCCTCAA